CTTGATATTTACAAAAACAAATGAAAATCAAAAATTTTTCTAATTCGAATTATGAATTATCTTCTTTAAAATTATAACCTTCTTAATGATACCAAAACCAGCCAGATACAAATGATATAGCAAAAGAGATTTTATTACGAGTTCATACATACTATAATCCGTGACTATAATACAAAAATACTTTTACCCCCATCTATTATTATTCGATTTTAGAATTAAAATGAATGAAAGCTTATCATTTAAATAGAAAGCCCGTGTTCGCGAAGATGGCCGATAACATACTCGCGATCTCTGGCTGGAGCCAGGCGAAAGTTTCTATAATACCCTCCGTATGTCGGGGTAGTTCCGAGTTGACTTTAGCAATCACCTACTCAGGCGGGAATATTTGGAATTAATATATGAACGATTTAAACCCGCATGAGGACCAATCAAACCAATTTGATTTATTTGACAGTTTACCAGTATTTGTTGCTTCTTTTCTATAGCGCATGTGGTCTTCACCTATAATTATAAATACATTAAGCTTAACCACTTTATCATTCAAATAAATAAATAAATTAGTGGCTAAAGCAAAGAAAACTTTGAATATATTATACATGTTATAACGATACTATAAAATATCAACTGATAAAACTTTCAGTTTGCGTTAAGAGGGGAGGCGGACAAACGTTCTCGACTGATTCCTCCTTAATTTTTATCACTAAAGAATTTATTTTCATACATAAAATATAATTTTACTTACTCTATGCTTTTATGTCTTAGTTTTTTCAATAATCTGTGTTTCAAACAAGCTAGAAGTCCTCAAAAATTCCAAAAATAAAAAAAAATGTCACCTTTAAAAACGTCTAGCGTAGATTTTTAATAAACATTTACAGAAAAAGCAAAACAAAGAGGCATAGAATAACTACTTATAATTCTATGGATGAAATTTCTTTTACATATATCTAATTTCCGAGGGGGAAATCGTCGAGAGACAAAATTCGAGGTTTAGCCTCGAATTTTGTAATTTTTATACGCAATTTTCAGCGTTAACTACTGTTGTCCCTATCGCACGGTAATTCCAATGCGTGACAGCAATAGTTTTTTCAAATACCTATTTCTCGCTCTTAATGATGCATGTTACTAAGACTCTTTTGATGTGTGTCTTAAATCTGAAGAGTTTTTTGTTTGGTTGAACGCGCTGATCTCAGGAAGTGCTGGGCCGATTTTAATAATTATTTTTGTATTGGATAGTGTATATATCGAGGAAGGCTATATAACGCTACGCTTAATAGGAGCAATAGTAGGAGCACCAATGAAAACTGGAAAAATATTGCATTTGTTAGCTTCCGTTGAGTGCGCTGCCGTGCCGATAAAAGTTACACAAAAATCATGCATTCAGACGGAATTGTTTCCCTTTAAAAGTTTTATAAAAAAGTCCGCGATAGCATATGTCTACCTTTTCAGGATGACCTAATATAATATTTTTTCTTAAATTGATGCGGATGAAACCAATGACGATATCTTTGTAGGAATCTATAGCTGTTTTTGTAATTTAATCGATAAATATATTTTATTTTGGGTCAAGAGGAATGTTTAAAGCACCCTCAAGCGGACAGTTTACTTGTTCAGAGATTTACACCTGAAAGCGTTTTCTTATTATCAAAGCTTAGATAAAGATTTTTTCCGAAAGCTGAGAAGTCTCTTTGTCTGATGAGTTCAATTGGTGAGTATTTGAGCTATAAAAACATGGGGAAACGTAAAACAAAACAAAGGGAAATATTTAAAACATAGAGGTTTTGGTAGCGCCTAATGAAACCACTTCACTTAAGAGAGTAAAAAAAAGACAGGTGATTTTATGTGAGGTGAATGAAACGAAAATCTGAAAATCTGATTTGAACCTTTTCAAACTATGAATAAGATATATACTTACTTACGAAGTTCGGGTCTATTCCCTGTATACGCAACACCTGACTTGTAAACTTTGTTTGTTTTGTGCTCAGACCCTTGCTCGTTGCCCGCCCGACCCTCCAACTTCAACCAATATTGCGAACTTTGACAGTTCGTAACAATATTATTAGAAATATATTGATTTGGGCGTGCATTCTGTATAAAGTTTTGAAATTGCATTCATTTATTGTTTGCCAACAAAAAAGTTTAATTGGAAACATTTCTGTTCAGCTTTATTGGAAACATTTCAACTCTTATGACTATCACAAACATTGATATTAAATGAATACTGTTTACATTTCAATTTAAAAGATTTTATTGTATTCTGTGTGGAGTCATCCGTCTTGATGATCAGTCCTTCCATCTCAGCTTCTCCAGGAACCGCAACAGTCTATGTACAGTCAGCCACACATCAATTTACTAAAACCTGACAAATGTTCTTAACAGCTTATGAATCTTATATGAAGTAAGATAAAGCTCAAAGTCAGATGGATACATTTGGCAGTGTTGTGTAATTTTACCTGGGAGCTAATCGCCTAACGGGATTGCTATGGTTACCGCCATCGCTTACGATTTCATTTTGTTATTTCTGACCGCCGAATGTTTTCAAATACTTCATGCTTATTTTCTTTAATATTGTTATTAGCATTGCAAAAGAAAAAAACACAGATCTCGTCCTCTACATGACTTGAAAGGGCATTGAAAATGAATCTACCTATTATAGATTATTCAAAAAACACATACCGATTTTTCCAAAATATCTTTACATCTTCTTAAAGCTCTTAAAATTCCGCGACTTTTCAGCCCTCATACATCCTAATAGCCCTAAACCTCGGGGTATCACGGGCGAGTCGCACTTTCAGCGAAAACGGCCCCCATTTTACTAGAGCGAACGAAAAAACCGTTTTCAATGTTGAAAGCGCTCGGCATTTGAAAACCTTAGTCTGTCAGAAATAACAAAATGTAATCGTAAGCTATAGCTATAGCCATAGCAATCCTGTTAGGCGGTTGGCCCCCTGTAGGGTCAAGTGGGGGACAGTGTAAGAAGGGGCACAAAGGAATATAAGGAATATCTCTGGCCTTTCTTTCTTTATCTGCGGTCTGTCTTGACGTGTTTTATTAGTTTCATATGCCGCGTCAACAGACGTCAAATGGCCGGGAATATACGAGTATTAGCTGAACATAATCATACAAAAGATTTTCGTTCCTTTTGGAAAAGTACGAAAGATAGTACTGACCGGAAAGAGATTGCCTATATGTTTAGTTACTTTTTTGCCGTTGAGCCGCTCGTATCTGGATCTGGAATTGCTGCTGCTGAGAGCGTGCCCCATGCAGTGACGTTAGAATATTTTTTTTGGCGAAAGATGTTACCAAACCCACTAAGGCCACGTCGCCAGGCAAATCTCCAGGCCACGATGGTCTCAGCATTGAGCATCTTCAGTATGCGGCGCCATATCTGTCACGAGTACTGACCATGTTTTATAATTTTTGTATAGGGCACTCATATTTGCCAGCAGAATTGATGAGAACGGTTGTAATACCTATAAATTAAAAACAGATCTGGCGAAGCTACTGATAAAAACAACTACAAGTCTATCTCATTAGCGACCGTAATCGCCAAGATATTTATTTGATGGCACGCTAAATGTGCACATTATTAAATATGTTCCACCCCATGACAAACAATTTGGTTTCAGGCCTAAATTCTCAACAGAGGGTACGATTGTGTACATGAAGCATGGTGTCAAGTACTATACTGACAGAAACACACCAGTGTATGCCTGTTTTCTAGACCTGTTGCCCTGAGGGTTTTTGGCCTGGTTTCCTATGATTTGCTCTGGAAAAAGCTTTCAGAAATGAAATTACCTTCTGAGTTAATCACCATTTTAAGGTACTGGTATGCAAACCAGGTCAATAACGTTCGATGGGTTAAGTTCACCTACATTGTTTAACTTGACTTGTGTCTAAACGAACTGGTCACCGCGCTCAGCAAGCGCCATTTCGGTTGCCATGTAGATGGCGTGTGCTTTAACAACATTAGGTGTTGATGGCTTTCACGCCATTATGCGCAATAGAGTTGCCTCAAAGCGCGGCGAACGCGGGACAGTGGCAAAAGCCTTCTGGTCGTGGTCGCGAACCGTATGGATGGTCCATTTTGGAGGCATTGGCAGTTGTTACACGCACCAACTGACTAATTATGCCTCATAGTGTTAGATGTTTATAGTAATGAAACAAGAATTATGTTAATTTAAGGTATTCATATAGCTTTAAGTGTATTGTTACTAACATTATGGATGCTCAAAAATTATCTGAAATATATATTTAATAATAATTATACAGAGATATTCCATATTTTACACTCTGGCCCTTGTTACACTGTCTCCCACTTGACCCTGCATGTGGCTGAAGGAAAGAATAGAAAGGAAAAGAAAATAATAATATTGTCCGTTTTGTCTTTAAATGTAGTGACATTTATCGCTTTAGTTGTACGCGGACGCTCGAACGCAGTCGGAAATACCCGTAACGAAGTTCGGTTAGTTTGCAACAGGTAAAATAAGAAATCTGTTTTACTTGTTGCTTTTCCCGGCAAATATCGATTTCAATAGCCTGTTCTAAAATAACGATTAGTTTGAAACAGTCGTAGTATATGTTATTGAATTAAAAAACGTCCTTCGTGCTTACAAACACTGGAGGAGAATTTTAATTTTTGTATTTTTGGATAAATTATGAAAACACTAAAACTGATTCTCTATAAGTGTTGAAAACTACTTTCGATAACACTTTGTCCTTTTAATTGTCTATAGAGAGTAAGATGAAGATAAACTCATATATATCTTTGCAATTTTTTTTTATTATTTTTTTATATTTTACCTCATTCAACTACTAGATGTATAAATCAAAAGAAAAATTTACTTGAAAAATATCCACTTTTACAGGCAGCAGATGGGACTCGAACCCACATCCTTTGCGGGCCGGGCAGACTGACCAATTATGCAACCGGGCCCTTATTATATTTATTTCCAATCAGGCCTACTATCAGATTTTTTTATGCTGATGATGTATTGACCCAGGTGACCTGTTCGTGCTGGTGTTCGCAATGGACAGCCGGGAGTCGTTCGAGGAGGTGATCCGCCTCCGGGAGCAGATCCTGGAGACGAAGGCGAGCGCCACCAGCGGCACCAGCCGCGGCCGCCGGCAGGCGCCCAGGGTCCCCATGGCGATCGCCGGCAACAAATGCGATAGGGAACTTAAGTGAGTGAGGAATACGGATCCTTTTCCATGGAGATACCTCCCCCAACTTGCGTTGATTATCCTCAATGCTGAGGGTCTATCCTCTCTGTGTCACTACTGCTCTAGTGCTATTTTGTAAGAAAAAACTCACTTTTTACGGCATCCGCGGTGTGATTTGAAATTGATTTAAATATTAGTATTCTTATTTCAAATACTTATACAGGTGGAAATTTTGAATGCCACCCCCAGGGGAAGTACTCTAAATGCTGGAGATAGATAATTTTACTCACAGGAAACATTCCTTTATTTTTAAAAAGATGAACAACTGCATTCACAGTTTTTCGAAAATTTGCTTGCCACACCCGGGAATCGAACTAACGAAAATTCGAAAAAATTACACCCCGTATTTTTATGGCATCGAATTATAGGGTCAATCATAGGGATCATATTTTACTAACAAACTTAGTACATTAAATGGAAGGAAAAGCGTGTAATCTTAACTTAACCGAATGGAACAAGACTAAAAGCAGTTTTATCCCACCAGATTACACGAGTTAGTATTTTTATTATCTTCGACGTCATTTATTCATTCAAATAACGAATAAAGATTTTTTTGCACATGTCTAAAATGCAGACAGAGTTCAGTCAGGGAGGGCGCCATACAACCTCTTTGGTACCAATAATTTAAATGAGGTATGCAAAGAGGTATGTTATATATTTTTGAAAATGGAATAGCGAATTAGAACACATTGCCTTAAGTCTTGTTTGCTGCATCAAAATTTACCATAATAAATAATCTATCAATCGATGCCATATATTTGTCATTTTTTCGAATTTTTGCCATTTCGTTTCCCGGGTGTGGCAAGCAAATTTTCGAAAAACTGTGAATGCAGTTGTGTTTCTTTTTAAAAATAAAGGAATGTTTCCTTTGAGTAAAATTATCTATCTCCAGTATTTAGAGTACTTCCCCTGGGGGTGGCATTTAAAATTTCCACCCTGTATATTTGATACTTATATCACAGACATCATTATTCATGGAAATTATTTGTTAAAAGTTATAAAGAGAAAATAAAATCATTGCCAAATAAATCTGCGTGCGTGACAGGTAAAACCAAAAATTCTGTGAATCGTTTGTCCTGAGAGCAAAGTATTGCTGTTCAGGGTATGCGATTGCCCAAATATAACGACTCAAATGCAATGCATATCTATGAAATTGAGCATTCTTTTTTAAATATATATTTTTAAATTGCCGTACGGTAGTGGAAAAGCAGTTGCTTTCAGTTGCGATTTGCAGCAGTTGCGATAGTAGGAAAAGGCTTAGTTAAGCCTTTTCCTACTATCGCATTTTATTTCTCCCTGGCGCACGCGGCGGAAGTATGCAAGAGATATCATCATTCAAGAGGGATTCCTGCTTTTAAGGTGGAGATTACTTCCTCAGACAGGCACTCTAATTCGAGTAAATCTGTGCATATTTTTATTGACTTTCAGTTTTGTTTTTAATGTTGGTAAACAAGGTTATGGCCCTGAAGGTAAGCGACCACCATAGCCTATCCGATACCAAAAATATTAACACACCGTTGCCTACCCTGACCCAATTCCCTGCCCTGTGGAGCCCTGGAACCATACTCACCGACAGAAATACAACACCACCACCAAAAGGAAGTGATTTTTTTTTATTGACAAAGATTCACCAACAACATATAATTTTTCATCCCACCACCTCGGAAAGTGTAATTTTGCGCTTCGAAATCTGGCTGGAAAATTCTATTTTATTCGCTTGAGCGGCAAAGTAGATTTGAATTTAGAACATCACATATAATGAGTACTCAATATAATTGTAAATTCAAAACGTCATTAAACCTATTTAATGTAACCTCTATGGTGCCAAATTTATGATTAGAACTTTTTAAATTGTGAAAAAATTTAAATTTGGAACCTTCTTGGTTTCTTTGTTTTATTTGCGTGCTTCGCGCCATTCTAGTTTTTCACGTTTTATTGCTTAATATAATTAACATAACCTAAAAACTGTACAAAAAAATCAACTAAAATGAGTGACATTAGCGACGATGAAGTTTATCTAACGCCAACTGAGTTAACTGAAACAGTTAATAATGCGCAAATGAGCCTTCTCCCTCAGCAATCACGAGAGAAGTATTTGAAACAGTACGATATATTTAACATGTGGCGACTAGCTAAAGGAGCAAAAACTTTCTCCGAAAACGTTTTGCTGCCATATTTTATAGAATTATCTGAGACCAAGAAAGCAAGCACGCTATGGAGTACGTATTCAATGCTAAAATTAACAATTAAGATGAAGAAAGACGTTCATATCGACACCTATCATAAATTAGTGGCATTTTTAAAAAGAGCCTCATCTGGTTATAAACCAAAAAAATCGAAGGTTTTCACAGCATCTGAAATTGCAAAGTTTATTAATGAAGCACCTGATTCCGTATATTTAGCGGCAAAAGTAAGTCAATACGTGTAATTTTTTGTTGTTGATAAAATTGTACATAGTACTTACAATATTTTTAATTTGATTAATTTATTTACGATTATAAATACTTCTTTTGTTACAGGTTGTTCTTATTATTGGTATAACCGGAGCATGTCGAACAAATGAACTTACACTACTTAATGTCAATAACGTATCAAAATATTCTCATAATTCTGATGAATTGCTATTAATTAATGTACTAAATACCAAGACAAAAAAAGACCGCAACTTCGTTATTCGCAAGGAATATGTAAACATTGTTCAGAAATATCAAGCTTTACGTCCTTCTAACACCCCAATTGAACGATTTTTTCTACAATATCGCAACGGAAAGTGTATCCGACAACCTATGGGTCAGAATAAAATTGGCAGTATTCCACGAGAAATAGCAACTTTTCTCGGACTTTTAGAACCCCCGTTATACACCGGTCACTGTTTTAGAAGAACCTCAGCCACACTTTTGGCCGAATCAGGGGCTGATCTTCTATCGCTTAAGCGCCATGGAGGCTGGAAGTCTAATTCGGTTGTAGAGGGATACATAGAGGATTCAATCCAAAGTAAATCAAAAATTTGTAATAGTATCGTGGAGGCCATAACGCTGAAAGAACCTCTGTCAGATTCTTGGTCTCGCCCTTCTACATCTAAAATGAGCCCCCATAAGATTGGAAACAATAGCCCTCTCTCGCCAACATTTACGCCAATAGAATCCAATGAATCGGCACAACTATTTAAAATTACTGATACGAGTAGTTTACCACAAAACAGCGCACAATTCACAAACACCAACATAACATTACCTAACAAAAATATTAAACTTAACATAAGTAACTGTAGCAACGTTACATTTAATATTTCTTAATTATTTTCTACTTCTTATTATTTTCTTCAATTTATAGATTATCTTAATGTGTTTTAATTGAAATAAAAATATTTTGTCATTATAAATTGTTTTCTTTTTCATTTTGTCATTTCCTCGCTGAGGTGGGATGAAAAGTTACGTATTGCACTCGAGTGGAAAGATTTTTCACCTTGTGCTCGTTTGTTTCCCTCGCTGATGCTCAGGATTCTAATTTAGAATCACTCGCTGCGCTCGTGATTCAACTTTAGAATCCTTCGCTTGCTCGGTCATCCAAATCGAGCACGCGGTTAAAAAGGAACTTTCCACTCTTGTATAATAAATAACTATTACATTACAATTTGAAATAATATATGAAAACCATACTTAAAGATATGATTTTTTTATAGGTGAATACAGCATTCACATAAATAGAAATAAACTACAATGACAGATTAAACAAAAAACAAAAAATATATCCACCATCATGAAAAACAGGTATACTGAATTATAATATTATTTAGTCTGTGTTAAGGTCCAATTTTATTTTACTGTGATCTTTTGTAAGGTATAGTTTACTAGTGTAGGTTACTTCCCCAGACGGACACTCCAATTCGAGCGGAAGATCCGCTGTGCCCTACATCTCTTTATTTCAGTCCTTTTCCGTCGGTGGGATAAAACTATTAGCACAATAATCACTGCTTCAAAGCTAATAAATGAAACTACCAATCGGTATTCGATGAAAAAAAAACAATTTGCGAATCTATATTGATGTAAATCTCGTTTGAGGTCACCCATTCTGCGCTCGACAACCGCAATCTGCTTCCTATTGTAAGCCCGTGTGACATTGTAGCAAGCTACGGAGGAAAACTTTTACATTTTTATTCGATTTCATAATTTACGGTACAGATATTTGTAAACCTTTTTTTAAAGCTGTTTCATTGAATGGTGTTTGTGATACAATTTACATAAATTTATATGTAATAACGCCAACGAATTTTATTATGAGAGTTAATAAAGCAGTGTAAATTTTCTATTTCAGAGTTTAGTATGGTTAGTTTATCTTATGGGGCAAGCATAACATCAAAATAAAAACGCATTACGAGACAGTAAATATACTTCAGTATTACCATACGTTCATTCGCAAAAGATATATTGGCTAGATCCATGACGGATCTAGTGAGAACCTATTTTCTTTAGGACCCTGATTACGACGCTATATAATTGGCATAAATTGGTTCTCAGTTGGCGCCTATAGTAGAAAATCCGAACCTACATCGACTTTCACCGAGCTGATAATATAATGAAACATATTTTATCATGAATTTAGTATATTACAAAATATATTAAAAATGGGTTGCCTAAAATAATCCTAAATTTTTTGCAAAACAATATAAAAAATATGTTGCTACATCAAGATATTAAAAAATTGTAGTCCTGACTTAAAGTATAAAACGTATAGAATTTGCAGCCGTTGGATAACGTACTCGTAACTGGCATCGACATACCTGTTTATACCTGGTAACCCAGTAGTTCGCCCAGGTAAATAATAGACACTAAAGGGCTGCATATTTTATATGTTTTATACTGTTATTAGGACAACTTTTTCTTATTATCTTGATGTTGTAATATTTAATTTAAAATATATATTTTTTAAATTATATAATAAATAGTCTGTCCAGGATTTTCTAAGGCAGTCCATTTTTAATATATGTGTATTTTGTAATATACTAAATTCATGATAAAATATGTTTAATTCTATTTATCAGCTCGGTGAAGGTCGATGAAGGTTCGGATCTTGGACAACTACAACAGCTTCAAAAACTGACCGAATTTCATCAAATTGCATTAGAACAACCCAAAAGACTTGATAATAACAATACAAATTTAACGATCTATTTTCGAGATCATATTTAAATACATCCTATTTGTTTCCCTCAGGACTGTCCAACCTGAAGAAGCTCAAGCGTACTGCACTACCCAAGATTCAGCGTGCGTGTTCGTAGAGACATCAGCCAAGAAGAACTTCCACGTGGATGACTTATTCTATGAGTTATTCGTCGTCGCCAATCTACCCTTAGAGATGGCTCCGAACCACCACAAGCGCGTGAGCACCGCCTTCGGTAGCCCTTGCACCCTCCCTCCTACCAGTAGTCAAAGCAATAGAAGTAAGAAATGCACACTCTCCATCAAGAGAAGACTGTCGGACGCGTGCGGGGTCGTCGCCCCCAACGTCCGTCGGCCCAGCATCAGAACAGATCTGATGATCATGAGAACCAAGACTTGTGCCAAAGGAGACAGTGATAGCGCCAGCGGCAGCCCAAAGCTCAACCTAAACAGACTTGTCCGCACCAGCGCACAGAACGATAAACGTTCGTGTACTATTCAGTGATATACAAAGTAATCTATATTTTAAAATAGGAAATATGAGTAAAAGTAGCAATATCGAATCGGCAGAGTAAGTTGTATGTAATGTTGTTTTAAGACAGGTGCTATATAATGAATCAGCAAAATCAAGATTGATCGGGCCCGTTTTAAATTTAATGAGACGATGGAATTTCTACCATTCGTGATAAACGAGTACCTATCTACTAGAGGGAGTCAATCAAATGAATTGCTACTATTTACATAATTCCTCCGTTTTGCATTGTAATGAAAGGGGGGGGGAGGCAAACAAATTTAATTTCATGAACTGGATTTGAAGGAAAACGACGCTAGATCATCGACAGAAAAAAATATGATCGGACGATTCTTAATATTAATGATTAATAACTCTCCATCTCCGAGATTTATTACATATTTTATTTATTCTCTGAACTTTGGATCTAGTCTTTGTCACCTTTTAACAGCAATTTATTTTATTGCATACCTTTGTATTATTGACCTTTTGTATCCACTCGAACAATAGTTCAATAACTATTTTAATTTTTATATGATTTTTTTGAAGAATTTGTTCGCTTCTTCCAGGTTCTTTTGGATGATCACCTGGCTTACGCCTTGCCCAAGACACTTAAGAAATAAAATAGTCCTTTGGGATAAAACAACTATGGGTATTCAATTGTCACAAAACCAAAGTGTTTTCATGGAAAACAAACTACATTTCTTTCTATCAATCTCATACAAAAACCGAATCACTACAAAGAGCATATACTTACTTAACAATCAAAAAAGTTTTATTCTGCTCTACGTGGACCCATGACCAATTTATTACAAAGCGCTTCTTTTTTCAGCAAATAGTTGGTACTCGACAAAATTCATTTAATTCAGCAAATTTTAATCGTGGCAATTTAAAATCTGTATCATTCATAGCTTCTAAAATTTCTTTACTCTATTGTAATACTGGTGCTTGGATAAATACTATCGTGGTGATAATATCAAATATATTTATTAAATCAAAAAATATTTGATACATTGTTTATCTTGGTTGTCTTCGATCAACTACATTAGTTGAAAATTGTTGTAATGAAGTTGGCCTCTCACTATCAGATGTAATAAACAAGGAATATAAATCTAAAGAAAATTTTACTGGAAAAACTCATTGCGCGCGGCCCTGGTGTGAGACTGGATCTTTCTTGTGATTTTTTTTTATATTAATAAATCAAGCTTTATACTTATTCTTTTTATAAACTCCAAACAAATTATGTTACCGCCGGGTGTATAAATTCCTTGAATATAATATAATTATATTCGGGGTGCTCGCTTATTACGGCGATTAAGGCTACATAAATCTTCAATACCAAAGGTTCTTCTGTTAAGTCAAAGACTTAGTCGACTTTATTTCTTAAATATTTTTGTTTGTGTGCTGTAGTACCAATAGCAGTGAATGTAATGATTTTTTTAATTAACAAATTTAATATATTTGTAATACCTTATTAGACAAAAATAATATTAGCTTTCTATAAACTAAAATGTAAATTTTGTTTAAAAGGGATTTTAAACAAGTTTTCCAAGCTTTTGCTATTAATATTAGCAAAATTATTTAGGACGGTTAACAAGCGTATTGCAGGACTCTATATTATGTCTCGGGATATAACATAAATATTGTATTTAATTCAGTGAGAAGCCAACGTAGAGCACAAAATATGAAAATGAGATTTGAGAGTTGTCCGATCATTACTATATATGGCAAATTAATAAATTATATCATAGCTTGAGATTGAGGTTGAATATTTGCCTTGTTGCTTTAAAGGGTTTATGACGATGTTATACAATACTAAAGTATGTTGTCGAGCTTGGAATGTGCTAAGTAAGTAAACACATGTTTAACCTAATGTAAGTATATTATATAATAATGTTAAAATTCTCATTTCCAAAACGTCGAATCTCTTAAAGCTGCTCATATCATGTTACTGTCTAAAAATATTATTACGTTATGTAATGTCAAAAAAAATATATAAATAATCATTGTTGAAATGGGACCAAATTTACGGAAATTGCGCTCATTTCTTTATCGTTTGGAGCACGAGATTAGAAATCCTCCTAGAATCTATCTTATACAACAGTAGGGTCAAGTAGGGGACAGTGTTACAAGGGGTACAGTGTATCTTATGGAATATGCTATTTATATGGCCCTTTTCTTATTTGCCTATGGTCTGTCTTAACGTGTTTTATTACGTGGCTGGTTATAATACAGATATATTCCTTTTGTTACACTGTGCCCCTTAGTTACACTATGCCCTTTTGTTACACTGTGCCCCTTTGTTACCTGTCCCCCACTTGACACTACCTAAATATATTTCAAAGAGAGTTTTACCTATTATAAATTCTATCATCGATTGGTTATTTTAAAACCTTTTACATTATACCCTGTACATTTTACATCGCCAAATTGTATTTAGGCCACTTATAATATATCTAACTATAACTTACTTCATATATCTTTTTGTATCTAAACTTTTATCTCTGTCTGTAACGCTATTAAATTATTGTTTTTAATTATTGCAGTTTCTTTTTAACTCATTTAGGTAGTTTATTTTGAAGTGAAATTTATTTTCGGACGGGGTGTAAATGAAAAAATCCTATGAAAAATATGAAAGGCAAAAGAGTCACTAGCGTCACATGTATATGTATGTGTGTGTGTGGGATGCGTACTCTTCCCGAATAGCATGAAAGTTGGAGGGTAACTCGGCGAAGGCTGAAAAGCGTCACACGCGATTATATTTATATACATACAACATACACATATATGTGATGGGTGCGCTGCTCCATTCCCCTATGCCTTATGCACCGCCCTATGTTTGGTTATTTAATAAAAGAAGTTTTACATCAGATGTGGACCACTCATCTGATGGGAAACTTCTTTTCTTAACACACAACTTTTTTTTACTAAATTTGAGAATTAACACGTACCGCTGCGTGTCTACGTATACGTGGATATAAAAGTAAGTAGTTTACGCCATGTGTAAAGTTTTAGCATCTATGTATGACAGGAAATGTCTACAACCTATGAATTCGTTCTTTGTTCACTGCTTAAGAAAATAATCACATGAAAACATTATTCTGTAAGAAAAAAAACTCACTTTTTCAACGCGTATTTTAAAGCGAATTTCGTGGTGAAAAATTAGTTCGTTGTTACAGAATAGGTCTGCTGTAATTCAATACTATCGTTATCGATTTGAAGATTTCAAATCGTGTTTTAGGTCATTAACGGATGTTTCACATTATAATATTATATTCATGGAGTGCTGTTGTTAAAGATAAACCTCAGTATTGTTGTCATACATAAAAGTTATTATAACCTTATCTATAATGATATCGAGGACTTTTTTTTTTTTGTGATAAAAACCAGAGGTTGGCATACAATTCCCGTGCTGCGGCGCGTAATAGTAATATAAGGTGCGTATGTTATTGAAGAATCCATTTTCCAGTAATGTTTTCATATTTTTTTTGCAAAATTAGGATGTCCTCGTAAATTTACAATGAGAAAATTTTATTGGTTACTTGCAATATTACCAGCGGCATAGCACTCATTGCGGTGGGCTCACGTAAAACGAGTGTACTCGCCAAAATGTTTAAGAAAAAACATATACGTCGGCACCCAGAAAGTTTTAAGAAACTAAAAAACAAACTTGCATGAAAAAATATTTTTATTAAATCTTTCAAAGAACTCTCCACCAGCCTCTATTCAAATTTTCATGCGTCTGAATCAATTTTCAAAACATTTTTTCCAGTCCTCCGCAGACACCTCTTCCATGGCCTTCTCAAACGGTGCTAGCGCTTCTACCGGCGATGAAAACTGTATCCCTTTAAGTTAATTTTATTGTTTTAGGGAATAAAAAGATGTCACACGGAGCTAAATCAGGACTGTAAGGAGGGTGTCCCAAGGTGTGGAGTCCAGGAATTCCTTCGTTTTGATCGCAGAGTGCGCGGGGCGTTGTCGTGGTGAAGAAGGACCCCGTGCAGCCCGGTGTTAGGTCGCCTGTTGCTCATTGTAGAAAAAACTTTTGGCAGGCATTTTGTGCTATACCATTCAGTGTTGATGCTGCTTTGGTCTTGAAGTGAATTTGAAATTAGTCAAGTTAAGAAACTAGCGATCAAAATTTTCCCTGCGCTCCTCGATGGCTTCACTTTCGTAGGCGTTGGTTCATTTTGAAACAGCCAGACTGTCGACTGACGCTTTGTTTCTGGATCGTTTTGATAAATCTAGGATTCGTCACCTGTCGCAATATCGTAAACACGCCGTGACGAGCCTGCATCAAATATTTGTATCATATTGCTGCATCAGTCCACATGGGCCTGCTTCTGAGCTTTGGTGAGGTTGTGTGGCACCCAGCGGGAAACTATCCTCCTTACGCAAAGGTGCTCGTGCCAAATCTTATGGACCCTTCCTGAACCAATCTGCAGAGTATGTTGAATCTCGTCGTTCGTAATTGGTCTGTTTTCTTGATTTACATTTTTTACTGCCAGCACACTTTATTCGGTGTCAGCCGTCGTAGGACGACTTCTCCTTTGTTCATCCTCCAAAGTAAGACGACCGCGTTTGAACTCGCTACACTACCGGTAGATAGTTGCTTTTGAAGGTCCTGCATACATGAAAGCAGTTCGAAATCGATCAAATGAATCATCAGGTTTTCATCACATTTAAAATCGTAAAAAAACATTGCACGAAAATATTCTCAATGCAGATCCATTTTTTAATGAGACAAGAAAAATTTAATTGACTCTAGAAAAATGCGGAGCGAAATTTGAAAATCGAATAGTGGTATATTTACTTTTAAATAATAGAAGTTTTCAAAATAATTACAAGTGGCCAGTGTCTTATACATAAAAACTTTTTTTCGCAAAACTGTCTGAGTGACTTTGTATGCATAATCATAGTAGAGCGTTACAGTAGACAGTAAGAAGTACAAAATCTAGAAAACATGAAATACATTATCATAGTTTATTTCAAGTCGAATAAACAAATTGTTTTTCACTTTCATTATATAAAAAAATAACCAGTACGGCTACTTCTTAAGTTGACTTATCCTAATACGTGTTCCCAATCCGGCATTCGTAAAAGCATTTTTATTACTCGAAAGCGGGTCCAGGAGCCGCCATTCACTATTCGGGACTAATTCTCTACTACTTCCATCACTTTGGATCGTGCGATTCTGTGGATAATATAATTTGGTAGATATTTCTGCTATTCCAAATTTTCTTTTCACGAAAAACATACATACCCGAGGGGATTAAGCGAGTAGTAAGTAAATTTTCCTGAGCAAAATTTTTATGATCTTCCTTTCAATTAAAATGCTATGTTATTTAGAAAAAGAAATATCGATGATTGATGATGATGATTACCCTTTTCGACGGTTATCGTAAAATATCAAATAAATAAATAAAATAAAAAAAAAATATAAGTAAATATCGTCATGTGTATTTTTTTCATATTTTACGAGTTTGATTTACGGTTGTGGTAGGCAATTTTTTAAAACTCTGTGATACACCGATAGAAACACAACACAGACACAGAGGTAGTAAATAATAATAAATAAATAAATCTTCCTTTATTCAATACCAATTATAACATGTAAATGACTTAAATCTAAAAAAATACAACAACACATTGTATATTACTGTGGTCTTCTATAAGGTGGGGGTGACTTCCCCGGAGTTGCTTCAATCCGAACAGAAAATCCGCTATGCTCTACCTCTAGCATAAAGTTAAGTTCTATATTGTTCATCGGACAAATAAATACCCATACTATGATTTGAACTGTATGAAGCAGAAGGCAGGAGCGATTCCGTCAGTAATTGTGTTAGCTTTCCCGTATACAGGTGACAGGAAAACTCCTCCTATTCCTTGAAAGGGTAGGGTTAGCGCGTTCGGTTCCGGTCGTTGAAGTTGCACACCTTGCGCTGTGGTCGGTCATTGGATGGGTAACTAAAAATTTATTATCTCGAGCTCCTCCGTGCTTCGGAAGGCACGTTAAGCCGTTGGTCCTGGCTTCATCTGCAGTCGTTAGCACCGACCATCCCGCACTGGGCACGCGTGTTGGATCATGGCCCAACTAGAGGTCATTAGCAACAAATTAAGTCTAGTAAATTAGGGGTCAAAACTGGATAGTAACCGAATCGTGACGGTTCCCCGATTTAAAAAAAATCTGACTTGTTGCCAAAACCATTATTTGTAAAGAAACTACTGCACTCTAAACATTGAATTGATATTTTTCTGAAAGCTGAAAAATTAGTGATCATTTACAAAAAAAAAACGCTTGCCCAAAACCTACATAATCTCAGAAATAAAAGGACATTTGTA